GCCTGAACAAACAGACAGACAGACAAAAATTTTAAAAATTGCGTTTTTGTTATAAGTACCGTAAATACATTCATATGCATTTAGTAAAAGCTGTTATTTTGACATTACAAACAGACATTTCAATTTCATTTATTTGTATAGATATACAGAATATAGATTATTCTTGATTTTTTTTTCATGAATCGATAGTCGGATACATATAAATGGTATCTTATATGTAATGCTTTTGATTTGATTTGCCTAATGGTATAATGTATGTATTTTTTTCTATATATTTTATTTATTTTCATAATGTTGTGTCTTATTTATTACTCACAGTACCACAGTTTCCGACATCAAACTAGGTTGACTGGTAGAGAATGCCATAAAGCATTAAAGTACATGATGGTAATAATATGGTCATCCGGTTAATACGGCCACTTTCTCACTAACTCAAAAACTATAGCCTTGTTTGTATAGATGGCTCTGTGATACGACAGCTCTTCATCAGTCAATTAAATAATAAAGCGACAAAAGGGCGTAGCTTTATCGATGCCATTTTGACTGCTGATATTTTAGTAAAGTAGTTTAGTATTTGTGTAGTGTAGTTAGTTTTTTTAGGTTGATTTTTCGAAGTGTTCCTAATTATTGACAAGGCTTGTTTGCCATTTATATATATATATATATATATATATATATATATATATATATATATATAAAATGTCAACAACATACAACTTTCCGTCTTTGTCTCTGTCCTCCTCCTTGTTTTGTTTTTATAGGGCGGCAAAGATTAAAGTGACCATATTACCCTCACGTACCTTAGTATGTTCTTTTATAAGGTGTTTATAATAAAGGTCAAATATAGGTAATGGTTTTTCAGAATAGATAACAGATTAAGTTATAACAGTTACGTTTTTGGTTGTACATTCAATTTGACTGATTAAATTAAATTAAAAATCTCAAATAATATTATAATGTAATATTATTTGTAAAAATGTAAAATAAAAATAAATCCATTACTTAAATTAGGGACTATGATCAAAGTGTATTAAATCTCCCGATCTCGGCGACACAAATATACAGAAGTTTCGAATAATTTGATTGTCTAAGTGAATTTTATACAAAGTAGTAAATAAAATAAGCGAGTCGGCTCCAATCGTCGTCGCCGGTTGGCTGGTCGCAAACGATATTTGCGTAGATCAAAGTGCTTCGTGACGACGCTTACTACATCAATATCAGTATGATCTAAACTCTGTTTCATTTTGTGCATGTAAAGTTTTTTCTTTCTGTGTGATTATTTCATATCAATATATTTTTTTTAATTAGAGCAGTACTAAGTGATGAGGACATCTACATTTTCTGCCACTAGGGCGGCGCAACTTTGAAATGATGTGAGATATATACAGATTTCATAGCGGGGAAGTTAATTAGGAAGAAGTGTGTAGAAAATATTAGTTCTATTTTATATTAGCTGGGAACATCATTAAATGCTGTTCCGTGCCAAATTTAGCAAAATTCGATCACTTTTAGAGTCACCTCGGTGTCTGTCTCTATGTTTATGTGGTAATTAAATAAAAGAGTGATTTTCTGTAACTATTATTTATAATCTATATTGAATAAGCAAAGTCATAACCCGGTCTCCCCACATATTCAATTGCACGTGAACAAAGTCATTAGGCATGGTGGGCGTTTAAATCGCCAAGGATTACGATCTCTGCGGATGGGATCTACTCTAACAAGGAATCTGTAGCCATTTGGACGTGGTCGATGAGTCGGTCTGTTTCAACATTACCGGACCTATAGAGGCACCCGTAGACGCGGGGATGGTCGTCGCTGGGGGGTTAATTGGGCCTCCGGCCACTTGCACTCACCAAGCGAAACGCAGAGGTAAACCACTACTTCACGTTGGTATTCTGTGACGTTAACATCAGTTTAACTGTGTGCTCGCTTGTCACCCTTATCCAATAAAAAAAGACTGCTGAGAATTCTGGTAACTCTTCCTACAAGCTAGAGAGATCATTTTTACGCTAAGATATGTAAAATCTTGGTTGATAGCAAAAATGTTAGAAGAGCCCCAGACGTCTCAAATCTTATCACCTGATTTGCCAACACAAATAGAAGACCTACATTTGTTTTATAATGTGTGCTATTAAATTGTGTATGGTGCAATAAAGTCTGATTTACTCGATATATTTTATTTTAGTGACCCCCTCCAAAATTTCATGCTGCGACCGCGTCTGCACACACACACACACACACACACACACACACACACACACACACATACACACACACACACACACACGCACACACGTTTTTATTAAATTATAAAAGACTATTAGACGTAGATGATTAGTATTTGGCATAGATATATGCTAGAGGAACACGTGAATATATACGTCTAGAAACACTTACTATTTTTTATATCAGACGTGACTTCCGATGTGTCTATAAGAAAGGTAAATTGTCTTGGATTCAAAATTTATTATTATTATTTACATTTTATTCTTTACATTCTTTCATAATTAGAGTTAATTCAGTTTTAACAAAACAATGATCCATTTCATGGTCTTCTATCAATTTCCGGTATAATCTTTATTTGAGATATTTTATTCATATCGTTCCATGGTTGATTTGCAGTATAAAATAGATGTAGATATTTTATTTTATTTTCGAGTAGACTACAAAAGTTTATAAATGCAGTTCTATAATGATGTATACTACACATGGAATAAAACTAATGTTACGGATTTTATAACATTTAATTTTAAGTTTTTTTACGTGGGGGTTTTTTTACGCATCTTTGGGTGAAAGTTCCATAAAAACCCGTTTAAAAGAACATATCATTGATGTGAAGCACCGACCCTCCGGGAAGTCTAAAGTATGTCACATGTTTAGTATCGTCGCAATCATTACATCGGATCTGATAGACAATAAATCCTTGCAATAGAACACAGATTCCTATAAAAGATGATTCGCGAGACTATTGAAATTAAAAAAAACATCCTAATTTTAATAGGGATTATAGCTGATGCTACCATCTGCTAAGGACCCCATAATAATTAAAATTAAATTCAAACCCAAGCGTACTACTCTACTTATTTTATTCTATTCTAACTATGACATAAGGTTATCAAACACCTCAGTCCACCCGTGACCATGGGTGCTGTAAAGTGCCCAAAAGGTCAAGGAATTAAAAAAGTTAAAATTAAACGCGATACAATCCTTAAAATTAGTTTTATTCCTTATAAATTTTATTCACAGTGAACGTGGGAAGCACTACACTCATGAACGGGAGTAGAAAAATGTTCGCATTGTTGTCGCGGTGAAAGAAAACCGCCACCTCATGTCGTCCGTTTATAAGAGGCTACATAGGAAAACAAACGGGAGACGGGCAGCATCGTCTTCCTGACAACAGATCAAAATAATAATAGCTGTATTTACGTGGTAGAGCCAAGCTGCAGCTATATTTATAGTACAGTTGTAGCACGAATGGATCGGCTGGACCGGGGAAAGGCCACGCTCTCACGGAATACCAGCGTAAAAAAGCAACTTAATGCTGCTGTGTTTCGTATGGTGAGTGTAGAGAACCGGAGGCCCTTTTTACTGGAAAGGAAGCGTTCCATCTTAGTCTTCACGGGTGACAACGCATCTGCATTTTGATTCGCAAGCGAGGAGAGATGTAGATGTCTATGGGCCTCAACAACCACTTACCATCAGGTGGGCGGAGTGCTCGTTTGTCACCCAATTTCTATCAAAAAAAGTTGCGGTTGCCAACCCGCCTATGTGGCAACTATAGCAAATATCCAGCTACTTGACAATTTGTGGGGAGGCATATATTCATTTCAGTGGCCTTACGATATGCTGACAAAAATGAGTTTTACTCATCTTTGCTATCCTTAATATTTACGGTAGAGTGAAAACAAAAAAGTAACATACCCGAAAATATGAATGAAATAAAAACTGCATATATTGACTCATGAAAAGTAAAAAAGTAGCAGCTTACATACATGCTACTACTGGGCTTTGGCCCAAGTAGTAACAAGTTTTTTCCGTAATAAGCTCCGTAATAAGCCTATAAGTTGCCCCAGGTTACTAACTACCTACATACAAAACTTCATGTAGATCGGTCTATTAGTTTTTGCGTGAATACGGAATACGCAAAAAGACAGACAAAAATTCTAAAATCCACTAATATTCAGGCTTCTAGGTTTGAGAACCCTTTATTTACTCCCTTGGACTTGTGTTTTTCAAGAATGTATTAGAATTACAGACATGACTTTTCTACAGATTTATTATATGTACAGATTAATAAGATTGGAAATGGATAAAACAAACTACGGATATCTGCGTGACAAAATAGTTAGCCCGAACTAGCGACATCTAGTCTGAATAAGATTATTAAATCTCATTAATAAGTCTTGGCTTATATAATATAATACTAGCTGACCAGGCAAACGTTGTTCTGCCCTTTTCAACGACCATTTGCTTTCCTAAAAAAAACTGAGATTAGCAATAAAAAAATTGAGGGTCACTTATCGGGATAAAAACTATTCTGTCTCTCAAGTTGGACCAAACTGCACACAGTGTGCAAAATTTCATTGAAATCAGTTCAGTAGCTTAGGAGTTCATCGCCGACAAAGAACGTGACACGTAATTTTTATATTTAAAGATAAGTCTTTAGAAGTTATATAAGTGTCTATATCAGTTTTAGAAGCTTTATTAGAACCTTAAATCGCCAAAGAGCGGTGCGTGCAATGCTATGTTCCGCTCTGAAGGGTATAGAGTCATTAAAATTACAGGATGTGAAGGATGTGAAGTATCTTAGTCCTCAGAGATGACAATGCATCTGCAACCTTCTTTGTTTTAGGTAAACATGGACTGCAGTAGCCACTTACCATCAGGTGGCCTATAAGTCGGTTTGTTAAGAAGACACGGTAAAGCCACGCTGTACATTTTAAGCGATAAATATTTTTAATGTCATTCAATATTTAACATAGTGTGTTTGTTGGCAGCAGCTCGGGCGCGTTCCGTTCGTCACCCGGCAGCGCCGACCAGCCACCAGCGCCTCCGTTGTTTCTTCCCCCGCACCTTTCGCATCTCTCGCAACACCTCAACCATCTGTCGCAGCCCTTCTTCCCGTTAAAAGGTAAGTGATAAATATCAAATTTAAAAAGTTTGGTGTAGTGTATTTCTAATAAAACTAATAATCATCGTTCATAATTACAGCCCACTGCTGAACATACCTCACAGTGGGCATATTTGCGGTCATTGCCACACTTAGGAGGAGAGTTAGTTGATAAGGAAGATGCTGGCTGTAAATTTCATATTTCATTTTGTTTTGTTATTTTTTTGTGCCGGGTTTATATGTGGTGAAGCTTTTATGCCGTCATTACACCGCGAATTTCCTAAATGGGTTTTATCAAATCAAACTGCTGGACAATACATTGTTGACGGAGTCGTCATACATTATTGAATGAGCCGCTAACCCTTTTGCCAAGTGTGGTAAATATGGGAAATTCTTTGCAGTGGAAAAAGCTGATGACGAGGAGTGGATTCTCATAGATTAATAAACAAAATAGAGCAATTTTTTTATTAAAAAAGATCATTGAAAAAAAATAAAACAATTTTTTTTAATTTCTTAGGGTAATTATGAAGTATTTAGAATTCCAACCCAGGACCAGCGAAGTAGCAAATTACTCCGAACTTTTTTTTTAAATTACATTGTATTATTTAAAAACTATACACTTAACATTTCTAGTCAAGTTGCAAGAAAAATAATCCAACAAGTTCATGCTACGAATTATTCGTAGCGCCTCTACGCGTCTATGCGAAACTTTTGAATTAGGCCTTTATACAATTATATTGTAATAATTAATTTACCACGTGCTTGGCGGTGAAGGAAAACATCGTGAGGAAACCTGCATGTCTGAGTAATAAGAAAAAAATATATTTCGAAGCCACGTGCAGTTCGTCAATACGCATAGGGGCAGCGCGGCGGACACTTCCTTGCCTTAAAACCCTCTCAGAAATGAGGGGAGGCTTGTGCCCAGCAGTGAGACGTATATAGGCTGTAACTTTACTTTACTTTAATTAATTTAAAAAAAAACTTATTTTATTAATTTTTATATTTGGTCAGTGCTGTTTAAATAGACAGCAGCAGACAGCAGCATAATAGGATGCTAATAGGAGCCATGGGGATATGTCAGAAAATCTTAAGTTTTCCAATAGATGGTGGTATTCCATCTCGTTTATGCCAGGCGTAAGATGTCCAGACCGGCAACGCGCAGTATTGTCAAAGATACAAGATGTCTAGTCAATTCATTAATCCACCTGCCTAGCGTGATTGGTTAAAGCAAATTCTCTCTGCAACGAGAAACGCTTGTGAAGAACAGTGGACCTTTACGGGCTGATGATGATCAAGAAGCGCACTCTTTAAATCTTCTATATATTCATTATTGTTTTCTACAGGCTGGGGCGCGCCTTGCCCTTGCTGTCCAAAAGAAGAAGCTCGCTCATCGAGCGTAGCGGAATTACGCCGTAAAGCCCATGAGCATTCGGCAGCGTTGCTCCACTCGCTAGCGAGCTTCCAGTCGCGCGCGCTGCTACCGCTGCCGCTGCCACTGCCGCCGCTGCCGCTGTCGCTGCTGCCACACGACGCTAGTGCGAACTCCACCAACGCTTCTGAACCCCACAAACATATGGAGTAAGGACTACAATATTAGACTAAATGACAATCTATAATATCGTGATAAAGTTAATTATAAAAATTTGAACGTCGCACGTATGCCTGTGTTTGTACATCTTAATATGCAATTGTCCCCTTTTTGTATTTTTGAGGCGAATATTAACTATTCTACTTCTAATTAAAATGTAATGTCGAATTGTTGAAAAAAAAAAATGCTCAAATAAAAATACTTTAAGTCGTTTTTGTAGACGTTATTAACAACATCCGTAACGTATGCCAATCTTGTTAAAAAAAACTATAGTTTTTTAATTTATTTTCATGTTATTTTAATGGCCGAACCATGTGTTTATTTTTCTATATAATATGTCCATCCCTATCGTAACCTGTTCAAAGCAAGTAAAGTCGTCAATTCATTTATAAATGTTAATAAAGAGACATTTTTTGCGAGTCAACTCTTAGAGACAAAGAAAAATGTTGTCAGGTACATCACTAATAGCTGCTAAAACTCTATGATAATATAATGTTAACTATCAATAATCGGTAATCTCTCAGAAATCGTTTAAAGTATTAATTAGCCAAGAGAAGAATAGCTTGTACGATGATATTGTTATATTTAAAAAAAAATTGTGTTATACAGAAAAATTCAGGACTGTGCTGTTAATCTTGAATGGAATGGAGAAAACGAAAGTCGATTCAATTTATAAAATAATTACATATTTTTGAATAAAGGCAGTATACGAATGCACAATCTACTTGGCTAGAAACATAGCTATCGCAGCTAATTCTTTTAATTATTATAAAAATATAAAATCCACCTGATTAACGGTCACTATTGTCATTTGAACCTTAAACTGAATACAGGTGCGACACTCTGAAGAATAATATGTCATACCTTGTTCTTTGTAATAAAGTCTATTGAATAGTTTTTGTCACATTCTTGTACAAATAGTGAAGTCGCTATTATATTCCTATTCTGCCAGAGCGTGATCCTTCCCTGATTTGCATTAATCGTTTCTACCTAATTCCGTAACGTTTTTTAAATCCAAATATTTCTTAGCATTCAAATGTTTGCTTGCCATTTGTCATTTCATGTTGACAAGTGCCAACACTATCGTTCAAGTGTAATTGAGTCAATTTCACGTTACTTCAGATTTACATTGATGACTTTAATAGATTTGCAAGATTAATGAGGATAGTGTTTACGTGACTTTATAAGTTCTAATTTCAAGTCTCGTAAATAACAGCGTGAAAATCTAAACAATTAAAATATGAATTTTTATTGATCGTAATAAGAGACATTTAATGCGCATGTATATTTGTCCAATGCTACCATGATATTTATATCTTTTGTTTCATATGAGAGCAGATTCTTCAAAAATCGTAAGTAACCGTTGAATATTGAAGGAAAATAGAAGAAAAACATACAAAGACAAAACATTAAATGGTGGAGGTAGCTGCGTTTATGAAAATAATTCAGATTGTGCATTAGTAAAATAATTGAGATTTGTACTGTTCTAATTGATTTTTCTTGTAAAAGGCTTAATTGACCAAATTTTAATTCGGTTGTGCCATTAGTTCAATGCGAACAATGTCGTGTGCCATATTATTTATATGAGTTTATCGAATTTTAGTTTTAAGCAAAATTGTAAATAGCCAATGAGGATATATAAAGTTATTGTAATTTGTATTGCAATTTTAAAATAAATGCATTCCCAGTGATACGAAATCTAGATAACAATGTCGAATAAGTGTCAAAAGTTTACCAAAAATAAAAATCAATAATTTGGCAATTTGGTCATCAGTTAGTCACACTAAAATGAAAGTTGTTTTTTTTTTTTTGTATTTTATAAATTAAAATCTTTCTTAAAACGATTGATGAATTAATGAAGTTACCACGTAAGTTGCAACAATGTAGGTACTGTTTAAATTTGTGTTGGCGTTACTATTATTTTACAATATTTTAATTAAGTTTTATACGTTCACTTGTATTTCTTTATAGAGTAAAATGGTACTTTTTTCATCTCTCTATTAAAATTAGTTTTATTAATAATTTGATTTTGTTTCATCATTGTGACTTATATAGTAAATTTATTACTATGTTACGTAACGCTGATTATTAGTATATTTTATTAGTTCGTACAGACTCATGTCGTAACGCTGTTTTTACTTTTTATTTCAAGAAATATCCCTCGTGAAACGTAATATTAGGCTTTGTCTGACTGTTTTTTTTTTAATTTTTATAATTATAAATATTCCTATGTGTGCCAATGAAGTTTCTTGTTTGCGGTAAAATAAAATTTTACCATTTTAAATGTGTAAATAGTATATAGAATCCACCTGTGCAGTATTCGACCAAAATGTTGTGAATATTCTTTTTAAATCGTAGCTAGATTTTAGATGAAAATGTATGTAAATAGAATAACTGTGTTTATGAATTTTGTCATAGTTCAATGTTCGTATTTCGTGCTAGAATAGAACCATTAATGTAAATATGGAATAAATATAAAACAAAAAACATTTAACGCATCAAATACACTTTTAATGTTTTGAAATAAGTATTCGCAAAGCATTTTTTTGCAAGTGTAAATGCAAAAGCGTTATTTGATATTAAAAAAAACCCTTTGAATTGTTGCGTTCTAAATGATATATAGATAGATATTATTTAATTTATTACTCCGAATGTTATGAATTATTACGAGCCCTTGCATTAAAAATATAATTTATCGTTTTTACCTTTAAAATTTTTAGTTTTATTAACTGGAAATTTTACGAAAAATCTTTTCGGAAAATATTAATTTCACTGTCATAAAATGTTTTATACATTCCCGATTCTATGTTAAATAAAATTATTTCATTTTAAATGCGATAACACCCGCGCCAAGTTTGTATATAATTGCGAATGAAAGGGGTATATAAATAACTGCACTATGCACGAGATGTGGAATTGCTGGCGCGGGTACTTGTAAAATATTATAAATATGTACCACATAGATTATTAGTTATTAAATTATGTATGTAGACACACGAATAGTTGTTTTAATTATTATGAAATACAATACTTATATTAAATACACTAAGTGGTTTTATTTATGAAAAGGTCTCCAGTTCTCTACTATCACCTTACGAAACGAAGCAATATTATGCTGCCATTCCACGATGGCATCTGTGAGAGCGTGGTTTTCCTCCAGTCAAGTTAATCCATTAATTAGTATGATGTTTAGGCAAACTTCCGGTACATTAAAATAGGCAATTGTAAGTAGGATTGATTTTAATTTTCAATTTTTTTAATAACCTATTTGCTGATTTAAAGCATGAATTTACTCGCAGAGTTGCAAAACACAACAAAAAAGAACATCGTGGCAGTAAATGTCCATTAAACTATGCCGTTTGACATAAGTTTACAACTAGACAAGGAATTCTACTATTGTAGATAATATTTGCCGCTTGTGAGCTTGGCTGGCAGGTTATCTCGCATCAGCAATGTACTCTCTTTTCTGCTTCTGGTATTTTACATTTGCCATACACTAGTTTGGGGGGTACGTACTACAATCCTTTCAGCGGTGGCTACTCCAATAACTGTATATCAAAGTGCTGAAGTATTTATACATATCGTCACTGGAAAGCCAATACTACTTAAGCGCCATTTTGGCCAAAATGAGTTATATATATCGTTGGATTGGAATTTTTTTTCTGCGTCGATTGGTCTATATTTCGTGATGATCTGAGAACTTTTTTGGCGCTTAAGCACTGGAAAAGTATGGTATTTATTATAATTTTCATGTTTTGACAAATACTTACGTAATACAAATTATGATTAATTTTTAGTCGTTGTCAGTTTAGTATTTTTCTTTACTGACAACAGACATTTCAATTTTGTTCAGCAACTCAAAGTACTGTAGTTTGTGTTATTGATATAACTTTAGTATTTTTTGCCGGCCGTAAATACTAGCACATATGTAGATAAGTAACTTTGCCTTATGTAGAAATTGATAAGCATGGCGCGTTAGTAGATACATTTTGTTTTCGCAGTTTTCTTAGAGGGAACGGTTTTAGTAACTTTACTTTACATATCTAAGTATTTGAGTGTCTATTTAGAATGTTTTACATTCAATGAAATCGAATAATTGTTTTATTAAGTATGGATTATTTTACTCGACAAAATTAGTTTAGCATTTAGATGTGTGAAAAACGTTAAAAAATATTCAGTTAAGTCTTTTGATATTAAATTTTGTTTTGATAATAATTTGTTAAGCACGTACGTACAATTTATATTTTGATTTACAAAAAGTTTTAAATACGCCATATGGCCAAAGTATGTTATTATACTACAGTCGCAAATTAGCTGTATATAATCTTACTTTTTATGAGTACTAGACTAGAGAAGGCTATTGTTATTCTTGGACTGAGACAGAAGGCAAACTTGGAGCTAACGAAGTGTGCACCATCTTAGAAAAATATATCAAGATGGAGACGATGGACACGCATCGCTATAAAACAAAAGATGTCAGTCGGACATCTTTTGTTTTATAGCGTTGCGTGTCTCGGACAAAATAAAAACAGAATTCTTCTTGCATGCATTCATACTCATCTGCAAAATTACAAGAACATTGCGAGCATTCAAATGAATCATCTCTATTTATGGAAACTTTGTACATCAAAGATATTTTTTTTATAGGAGAGGGTAACAAACGAGCACACAGTCCACCTGATGGTAAGTGGTTGCTGTGACCCATAGACATCTACATTTACCCTCAATGAAGAATCAAAATGCGGATGCGTCGTCACCCGTGAGGGCTAAGATGGAATGCCTCTTTTCCAGTAAAATGGGTCTCCGGCTCTCTACACTCACCATACGAAACACAGTTGTAACAAGCTGCCATTTCACGCTGGTATTCTGTGTGAGCGTGGTCCTTCCCCGGTCGAGCCGACCCATTGGTGCTACAACTATACTACTTATATAGCTGCAGCATGGCTATACTACGTATTAATATAATAATTCTTCAAATGTATGACTATGAATATGAAAATTTTCCATGTGCCGTTAATGTTCAGGACACCCTTCAAGATACGGATGTAGAAGACATTATCTAATTATAAAATTTAAAAATTATTGATTTCTTATATTTACGCGAATATTACACATTTAAATAAAACTAATTTTATGGATTTTATCGCGTATATTAACTAATTTTATATACCCGACTTTTCGACCCATTTCGAGCACTTTAAATCACCCATGGTCACGGAGAGACTGAGGTGTATGACGTCCCAATGTCACAGTTAACCACGGCTACTTCCAGATTAAAAATTATTAATTTTTGTTCCGATCTACGAAGTATGAACTTACAGTATCTTGAAGTCTTGCAGTTGTATACTTGGGTTGGGATTTAATTTTATTAATTATGCGATCCCAAGCAGATGGTAGCACCCAGCCATCTTTTGTATTGAAATTAGGATGTTTTTTTGATTTGAAATGTACGCTTCGAAAAGTCTGCAGTCTGTGAACACGTACAGGATCGCCCCCGTCACTACATTAGATTTGATGGACCACAAATCCTCGCTAAAGAACGATTCCTTCCAAGGATGATTCGCGAGGCTTTTGAAATCAAAAAGCATCCTAATTTCAATAGAGATAATGGCTGGGTGCTACCATCTGCTTTTTTTTTATATAGAAGAGGGGGCAAACGAGCATGCGGCTCACGTGATGGTAAGTGACTACCGCCGCCCATGAATAACCGCAACACCAGGGGAATTGCAGATGCGTTGCCGGCCTTTTGGAAAGGTGTAAGCTCTTTTCTTGAAGGTTTCTAAGTCGTATCGGTCCGGAAAAATCGCTGGTGGTAATCGATTCCACAAGGAAGTTGTGCGAGGGAGAAAACTTCTTCTAAATCGCACAGTGGTGGACAGTTAATCATCCAGATGGTATGGATGGTAACGCGAGTTTTGTCGCAATGTGCGATGGTGAAATTGAGCGGCTGGAAGTAATCTGAACAATTCCTCAAAGCACTCCTCGTGATAGATGAGATAGAATACGCAAAGAGATGCAACATCTTGACAGGCCTGTTGGTCTAGTGGTTAGTGACCCTGACTGCTATGCCGGAGGTCGTGGGTTCGATTCCCACCCAGGACAAATGTTTGTGTGATGAGCACGATCATTTGTTCTGTGTCTGGGTGTAATTTATCTATAATATTTATGTATTTAGAAATATATAAGTATGTTTATCAGTTGTCTAGTACCCATAACACAAGCTCTGCTTAGCTTGGGACTAGATGGCGTTGTGTGATAGTTGTGGAATATTATTATTATTATTATTATACATCTATATTCTCCCTATTATAGAGGTAACTTAAACCCTAATCACACGGGCCGAAGCCAAGCGTGAGCAGGTGCTAGGTGATGGTGTAAGCGGAGGTGACGGATGAAGTGGTGAGGAATTTGCGTGTGAGTCGGCAGGTGTTGAGAATGACAGCTTTCTGCAGGGTGTAAAGTGTGTGTTGGGGTACTTGCAAAATATCTAAACTGCGTTGTAGGCTTTTAGGTATGACTCCGGTAGATGAGATAACTATTGGAACTATATGGATGGCTTCTGCTTTCCATTGACGCTTCAGTTCTATTGCTAAATCTTGATATTTTGTAAGTTTTTCAGCAATGGTGGATTGAATGTTATGGGTGTTTGGTATGGCAATGTCAATAAGGTAAGTAGTTTTGTTATTTTTGTCATACATTGTGATATCTGGCCTATTGAAGTGGATAGTTTTATCCGTGATAATGGTCTTGTCCCAGTAAATTCTATGATTATTATTTTCTAATATAATGTCCGGTTTATATTTATAATATGGTGTCATTTTTTGTATAAATTTGAATTTAAGCGCAAGATGTTGGTGTATTATGGAAGCTACCTGGTCATGCCGGTGTTTATAGTCGGTTTGTGCAAGGGCTCTACAGGCGGATGTAATGTGTTGTATGTTTTCGGGACTAGAGTGGCAATGTCTGCAAGTATCGGTGGGAAGGCTAGGTGCGCGTATTATGTGTCTCTGGAAGTTTCGAGTATCGATAACCTGGTCCTGGATCGCTAACATGAAGGCCTCCGTCTCTGGGAAGAGTTCACCGCGCCTCAGCCATGCGTCCGACGCTTTTTTGTCGACATGTGGCTGCTGCAGGTCGTGATAGTGCCTTCCGTGTAGGGACTTCTGTTGCCATGAGGCGATCTTCTCTTTTACGTCAGTGATCCGTTCGTTGCGCTGTGTATTTCGGTCTGCAAGGTTAAGTGGTGTGAAGCGTTTGTCGGCTAAGGTTACTATTTCATGGAGAGGTGAGTGTTCTGAACGTTGATAGAAATATTGTCGAAGGCATTTGATTTGTTTGTTATGCAAGTTGAGTACATCTATTATACCTCGTCCTCCATCGGATCTTGAAAGAGTCATCCTTTGTACGCAGGATCTAGGGTGGTGCTTGCGGTGAGCTGTTAGAGTGGTATTTATAATACGTTGTAGATTGGTAAGGTCACCTTGAGTCCAGCTTATTACACCAAACGAATATGTCAGTATGGGGATTGCGTAACTGTTGATAGCTTTTGACATGTTGCGGGAGTTGAGCTGAGACCGGAATATACTATTGAGCCGATGTTTAAATTTCTTTTTGAGATCTTCTTTCGTTTCCTTTTGATGAATCTGTCGCGCTTGTTGGAAACCTAAGTATTTATATGCGGCTAACGGTTCTAGGGGTTCAATCGTGTCTCCTGATATTAGGCTATAGCTATTACGGTTAATTTTTCCGTTTTTAACCGAGAACGTTTTGCATTTGTCGATCCCAAACTCCATATGAATGTCGTTTGAGAAAGATTGGGTGATGTCTGCAAGGCGATGCAGTGACTGTGTAGTGTTACTGTATAGTTTTATGTCATCCATGTACATCAGGTGTGTAAGAGTGGTGTGTTTGTGTGGAGTGATGATAGAGTAACCATGATTGGTTTTGTTCAGCATTTGCGAGAGAGGGTTTAATGCGAGACAGAACCATAAAGGGCTGAGCGCATCACCTTGGAATATTCCTCGACGTATTGGAATTT